GGACTGTAGTACAATATCCACAAACCATCACAAAAAAATAAACCTGAAAAAGACATTCTCAAAACAAATAGATCCGGTATAGTCCCACCCCTTTCTCCTAAAAAAAAAAAAACAAGGAGAACCCAACAAACAAAAAATCCACACATTTGTGCTCATACTGGGGGGCTTACCTCCTTGTCTGGACTCCCGCCACAACTAAATAACAATAACAAAATAAATAAAATAAAAAAGGGGTTCCCTTACTTTAAAGTATTATTACTGTTACTGTTTATGCTCTTTGCAGCACTGATAAATACATCACTAACCAAGATCCGGACAGAATCCCTGTGAAACTCTCGTACATTGAACAAAAAGAGGAATGTCGTCCCCCGGGAATAATGTCTAAAATTAAATCAAGATATAACGCAGGACATAAAGTTGAAAGGTTCATTACAACCTGACAGTCATAATGGATCGATGAGGGTTGGACCTGCGGTCAACGCCGGTCCTCGCTGTCCGTCGCCGAGATGATCCTCTTTTTAACGTAGTCCATTGCTTTATTGGCATCCAGGAATTCCTTGTTTTCCTCCCCATGAGAGATGCGAAGCCATGCAGGAAAAAAGCAGGCCGTAGCGAACATCACGTCGGTTGCGAAGAAGCCTCCTCACCTCCGTAAACACCGCTCAAGCCCTGGTCACAGCCGCAGTGTGGTCAGATGTGATGATGATCTGTGACTCTTTAAAACGAAGAGGACCACGACGCAGTATTTCCACACATTCTTAATAATAGTGCAGCTTAGCAATAATGACCCGCGGCTTATCGCCTGACCTGTTTCCACCTGGAGAGCGATGGGCTCGGTCCACCARTGGYWCTTTATCCATCTGTAGAACCTCTGCTAGCAGTTTAGCCACTGCTGAAGTGGAGCTGGATTCTGGCGTTTCAGGAACTCCAATAATCCGCACATTGCACATTCCCATGCGCCCCTCCATATCGTCACACTTCTTTTTGAGCCCAACGACTTCTTCTTTCAGTTCCAGCACGGTGGTGCACAGAGAAACAACCTCATCGGACCAGGTCGACAAGCCGCCCTCCACCTCTTTAACGCTCTGTTTCATGTGGTCCAGATCTGCGCGCAGTAGCATCGTGCCGTTAGCCACTTCAGCTCTCACCGCCTGCAGCTCCCCTTTAATAAGAGTAAACTCTTCAGCCAAAGC